AGATGGTTCGGAGAGGCAGGGCAGGAGCCCGACCTCTTCGGTTTAGGAACAGGGCAGGTGGTAAAATAGTTCGCTGCCCTTGTGCCGGCCTTCGGCCCCTCCGGCGATCAGCTTTAGAGATGCTATCGCAGCGCTTTATTGGGGGGGGGCTGAGGCACTTTCTTGCATCTTCCCGTCGGTCGTGGTTTCACAGATCAATTAGGCATTCTCAGATCCCTTGGATACAGTGAGCCTGACCTGATCTAAAGTGGCCCCGCGGTGAGAGCGCCTCGTTGAATGCTTAATTGACTGAAGATATGCATATTAAGAGCATTATGACTGTAGAAGGCGTGCGCGTTGCCACAGCCTCTCAAGAAACACTGAGACCGTAGCTTTCCTCTTCATCGAGAAGAGAGTAACTTGGTTGTGGTGAGCGAAGAAAGGGGCAGGGTGAGGTGGATGTAGGTACCCCTGCTGCTTTGTGCAGTTGTTTCCTCCAAGGCATCTGCTGTTGTGCTGGTACTGTCTGCGTGTTGGAGAAGAGAAGTGTAAGAAACGTGGTTGCTAAAACGTGAGTTGATTGGTATGCAGGGGTTTCCCTGTTAATTGGTAGGCAAATGGAAGCTGTAAGAAAAAAAACACCTCTGTATGCAAGGTGTTGTTAGAGGTGAGTAACCAGTGCAGATGTGCACCATAATGTGAGATGGGAAGAGGAGTGTCCTGCCAAATTAAAGTAGGTATTGCAGGTGCAGATAGATTTCTGTGTGGTGCAAGAAAACTGCATCTTTCTCCCCGACTGTGAGGCAGTGTGGTTTTGATTCCCCAGTGAAAGGCAGGATGCTGGTAAAAGCAGAGCTAGAACAGCATGTGCTTAGAAGTAGGTAAGGAATCCATAATGTTTAGTGGGTTTCACTTTTCAGTTGGGCATTTTGGCACTTTGTTTGTTTTTTGTTTACTTACCTCTTTACCCTGAAAGGACCAAACATTGCAAATTATTATATTAAAGAAATCTGTTTACTGAAAGAGCATTTAAGCAAGGTTTCTTTATTTATTTGCTATTTTGTTTTATGTGAATGCCCGTGCCTGACTGTAGTCTCTCTCCTTAGAAACCCCGGCTGGTGGCCAGCAATGACCGTTTCTGCCGCTTCCTCGAGGAGTATTGCCCTGTTGTGACAGAAACTTACTATCCCACGATTTGGTGCTGGGAAGGTCGGGTGCAGACACTCCTGCGTCCCTTTATCACCTCTAGGCCCCAAGTACAGTACAGGAAGTAAGTGCCTTTCTTCTGGAAAATGACTGGTGTGGTAGCCAGTCTATGGTTTCCTCTGTGTCACAGCTACTGTCATTGCTCAAGCTTGGGCCCATTTTTTTTTTCTTTTATGTCTTTACAACTCCATTGTAAGCTTTTATGTCTCTACAACTCTTATCCTGGATTTGAGATGCAGTAGGTTTAAAAGGTCAAGGTTTCCAAATGGCCTCATTTTAGCTCTGAGAGTTTTGGAGCACTGAAGAATTGATGACAATACAGGAGCTGATGTGGTTACATGTTCACTGAATCACACAAGGGTTGAGGTCAGTAAGGACCTCTGGAAGTTGCCTGGTCAAATCCCTCTGCTCAGGCAGGGCCATCTAAAGCCAGTTGCTCCAGACTGTGTCCAGACAGCTTTTTAATAGCTCTAAGGATGGCAACTCCATAACCTTCCTGGGCAACCTGTGCCTATTCTTGGCACCCTCACAGTGAAAAGTGTTTCCTAATGTTCAGAGGGAACCTCCTGTGTTTTAAGTTTGTGCCCATTGCTTTTGATCCTGTCACTGGGCGCCGCTGAAAAGAGCCTGGACCCATCCTCTCTGTAGTCTCCATTTAGGTATTTATATGAATTGGTAAGATCCCTGAGCTGTCTCTTCTCCAGGCTGAGCAATCCCAGCTCTCTCAGCCTTTCCTCACAGGAGAGGTGCTCCAATCCATTATCTTTGTGACCCTTTGCTGGACTCTCTGCAGTATGTCCATGTCTCCCTTGTACCAGGAAGCTCAGAACTGGACCCAGTACTCTGAATATGGCTTAATCAGTACTGAGTAGAAGGGAAGGATGACCCCCCTTGACCTGCTGGTAACACTCCCCATAATGCAGCCTAGGAGGCTGTTGGCCTTCTTTCCTGCAAGGGCACATCTCTAGCTGATATTCAGTGTGGTGTCCACCAAGACCCCCATGTTCTTTTCTGCCAAACTGCTTTTTAGACTGTCAGTTCCTACCCTATATTGACCAGCTTGTTCCTTCCTAGGCACAGGACTTTGCACTTCCTGTCGTTAAACTTAATGAAGTTGCTGTCAACCCATTTCTCCAGTCTGCTAAGGTCTCTCTGGATGGCAGCACAGTCACCTCATGTATCAAATATTCTGGTGTTCGAATGCCATCATTTTGCAAGGGCCATACAGTCACTGTATCTGTCCATTGAGCCCATGTGTTCTTCCTTGACCATAGCATGGCCACATTCAGTCTTGTTTCAAATATGTAAAACAACTGGGATTTTCAAAGTAGCTTTTATCTGTGGGTTTTATGTTGTTTTCTTTGATGCCTAAATTCTAAGAGGGAAAAAACTTATATTTATTGTTTGTCCTCAGCTGATCTCTCTCACACAGAAATGAGCCTTAGTCTGGCACATGAGGCATTTGGCACAAGACCTAAGGAGAAGTACTTTTATGCGCCGGAACCTGGATGCAGCACAAGTTGTTTCAGCTCTGTTTGCATGGTAGAATAGATTTAGCATTTAGCAGCTTCCCTTAGTTTTAGTAACTAGGAAACATTTCAGTGGTATGGCCATGTCCGTTTTTTTTTAGCCCTTCTTGTATACTCTCTTATTTCAAGGTTTGTGAGGGAAGAAACATAGTTCCATGGGGCAATGCTTATTTTGCACCATTTGAGTTTGTGTTGGCAGTACACACCCGCATTGCATCTACTTCTCATTACTGAAAAAGGGCAAAGCTGAGCTAATGAGTCCAACAAGGCTGACAAGCTTTAAAATCTGGAGTAGGTGCTATCAAGACTTTCAAATGAAAAATCAAATGCAAGGTAGGCTTACGTTTTGGTAGTTCCTATACCAGCTCTCTTGTACAATGTCTTCATTGCCAGAGAAGAGGGAAGATGCTGTATGTTTCTAAAAAAAGACTGAATCTTTTAATGGTGTAATGCATGCTTAGCTTCTTGGGATATTACTGTGTTTGTTGTATTCTTAAGATACATAGTTTAAGAGTGCATTTTAGTAAAGTTTGTGGAGATAGAGGGTGAAAGATATAGTAGTGTGTGTCTGTTTTTGCATGTTTTAAACATATCAAAGTGCCATCCATTAAGCATGCTGCTTCTTTGGATAGAGGGAAAAAATGTGATACATTTTTAATGCATTGCCCAGTGTGCTATCCAAAGATTCTCAGATGATCCAAAGGAAATCTACAGTACACAAGCCTATATCAAATAGAAGGCAATGCCAAAAATCACATTAGTTACAAGCTTCCAGAACATCAGGAACGATTCAAGAAGGGCCCGTCTCTCCATTAACTGTAAATGGGAATTACTCTGCAAAGTGACTGTGCTCACTCGTGCCAGCTGGAGGTGTGGCTCTTTCTGAATGGTAAACATGCAAACATATCGAGTTGGGTGGCACTTTGGGTATTAAAACATAATAAAAAATGCAGAATTCCTACATGGTAATTTGTACGCTCTAAGCACTCTTGATAGTATGTGTGTATTTTTAAATCTAATCAGTGTTCTCTTGAAATGTGCCTTTCAGTGAGCTTATTAAAACAGCAGATGGAGGACAGATTTCATTGGATTGGTTTGATAATAACGACAGCTTATATTATCCGGATGCCAGCACAAGACCCACTGTCCTGTTGTTGCCTGGACTGACAGGAACAAGCAAGGAATCCTACATTCTTCATATGATTCATCAAAGCAAAACGTTGGGATATAGGTGCTGTTGCATTTAGTTCCTAGTATTTCACTTCTTCTAATAAGATCAAATATAAGAATGTATAAGATGCCTTCTTAAGGCAAATGAGATCTAAAGACACTAGTTCATGTAAGAAAGTATCATTAGTAATAACAGTAGTAGAGGTAATGTAACAGACAGTACATTTGGAAGGGCAGTTTTAGTATCTTCAGAGGTGCCCCAGAGATTGCAGAGGAATCAAGCTAAGTCTGCATAGGCCTGTGCTGCTGCTGCTTTAATTATAGTATCAGTGTGTGTGTTACCTTTACACTTTCTAGAGAAGGGGTTCCTGTTCAGCTCCAAGAAGACTCTTGTGGATGGGTTGCTGGCAGCAGACCTCAGAAGAGGTCAGCTTCTGGATGCTGAAATTGCTTATTCAGCAGCCTCAAATCCATGAGAGCAGAAAGGGGAGCTAGACTGCTCTTACTCATGGTGGTGAAGAAAAAGGCTTGTCACCTCTTAATTGTTGCTGCTTAATTTACTTTTGTTATTAAGGCTTTTTGGTCTGGGTTGGTTAAAATAAGTGGATTAGTCAATGAGTAGATTCCTTTACGTAATCATATTGCTGCTGCTGTGCATTAAAATAAACTGTCATTGTTCCAGGATCTGTATTTGGAATATTACATTCTGTCTTTGGAGATTAGCTTCTGATACTGACTATAATAAGTTCTTCAAATATGTATATATGAGCTTTTATCCACATGTCTGGCCATCTTTTCTCTCTTTGGAGGTTTGGTAACTGGTTTACTAAAATTATGAAGGTCAAATAACACTATGATGGTTCAAAGTACTTTTAAAATCACTTTAAAACTTAATAGTAGAAAATATCAGAGGAGGAAAGCTCTCAAATCAATAACATCTTACTAATAATTTTTTAAGTATTCCTAAAAGAAATACCTGCATTTGATTGCCTGAGAAAAGAAGGTATAGCATGAAAAAGGTGAACCTTAGATCGGATTTCAACAGAATGCTGTATTTTTTTCATTAAACAGCAACATTTGAGAAAAAGACTGAAATAAGTAATTTTTCATGCCTTTACCCCATCTAAAATATGTATATATTCTTTAATACAATTATTACAGTGAGAATAGTAGAAGAGTAACAGAAAAGCAAGATTTATTAAGAAAGCATAGATCCTTAAATCAGGGTAACTCTGCTAGAAAACTCAGACACTCCCACCAGCATAGAGAGAAGAAAAATTTCTGCTATAGCAGCCAAAAAAACCCACACAAAACAAAACAAAACAAAACTCCCATCCCCAAGAACCTGCAACTTAGATGTAGCTGTTCATTATAATTTTTATTTGGCTCATTTCTTGCTATGTAGCATCAGAGGATGTCTACATATGGATCTCTTGATGTTCTCTTTCATAGCACTGCTTTAACCTTAGCCCTATTTGGGCAGAGCTTATGGCTCCATATTTGGCCAGCTCAGAGTGCAGACAGAACAAGGTACACGTACCACCCTGAGGTAAATCTGACCTCGACTGGCAAATCACAGAGCTCATATAGAGTCCCACTGACTCAGTGAGATCCATCTTGGTGCACAGGTTCTTCCACACAGGTCGGAGCTGAACGTATTCATAGAACTGGCTTGTTTTTCTTTATGTGTTTTCAGTTTTGTTTGTGTTTCAGTTACCTTTTTCAGTGAAATGAACTATGTGTATAATTGAATTTACTTTCTCAATTTTTAGATGCGTGGTTTTTAACAATCGGGGAATTGCTGGTGAGGAACTTTTGGTAAGGATGACTTTTAAGATAAATGTCTCTGATGTATAAGCAGCATATATGGAATCATACATGCCTACTTCTACAGCTGGATTTAAATGAGATAAACTCACAGCATATGTTGAAAATGCAAAAAAGAGGATCTAGTAGATCAATAATGTGCCAATATTCCCCTTTTACTTTAAAACTCTGAGGCCAACTGGTCAACACGATTTTTTGATGAACATTTTATTTTAGGAAATAATGTAAATTATTGATGTCTGTTACATGAAATGAACAAACCTTACACTTTTCTTTCTAAAAATACTGCAGCATCTAAAATGCATATATACAAGACATTCTGTTCAATCAGTGCAATTTTCTCCCACTCTTAACATGCAAATCCAAATATAAGCAATAGTAATTACTTTCCCAGTTGCCAACATGGGTTTAAAATAGATTTTGATGTAGTTAAGAAATCGTGCCATTAAAATTTATCCGTATTATGTGTTATTGAATTAATGAACCAGATTTATATGGATAGCCATATCCTAAAAGTTAAATATGTTCTGGTATTTTTCTCAGCAATTATGACACAAACTCAGCTACGAAAGACATTTTTTGTCTTTGGGACAGACATATCTTGTTCACTTAGAAATAGCTGGCAGTTCCACAAATGACCAAGTCTTGAAGCTAAATGTTTTTTGTAGCTAGGGACAAGGCATGATGAAATATTGCTGAATAAGCTTTGTTTCTTCATATGTGTTTTGTTGATAGTTCTGCAGCTGGAATGAATGTGCATAATAGTTGGTATTGTTTAGCATTTTTTAATACCCTGGTTTCAAACTGTAAAAAGCTCAGAATGTTTTCCCATAATCAGATAAAACACTTCAATGCAAATATTGCCATGTTAAGAGTAGTTTTCTGCATACTTTTGGAGATGGATCTACAAAGCAGTTTTGTGACACACAAAGTCCTTATTGATACACTTCTGAATCAGTAAGATAAAAGATCTCTTGTTGGGAGATATTGTGTGTATTTTACTGTAATCAGATTTACATCTTTAAGCTTTATACAATCTTACTGTGAAACAAACCAGCTGAAATGATCACATTCTGGAAAGGGGTTTCTATATTTTAATAGCAAATCCCTAGTTAATGAGTTTGAAGCATAGTTAAGCACCACAGCAGAAATCAGTCATGCAAGTAGTTATTTTTCTAGTTTCTTTAAATACAGATTCAAATTTACACCAAATAATAGCTCTTAAAGAATCAGTTGTAAAATGCTGTTCTTGTTTGTTATTGAAAGTTACTGTGACTTATTATCGTGGAATAACAGTAGATAGACAGTAAAGTGTCAGGAATTAACAAATTAAAATGCAAGGAATCTCTGTAGTTTTGTAAACTTTTAAACAAATACACTTTCACTTAGAATACATTAGACCCTAGTTAATAAAAATAATTTATTTTTCCTTGTAAACTTGAAAATTTAAAATAAAACACATTCACACTGTTTTTAATTAGTAGCATGTAAAACAGTGAAGAGTGATTCATGTGGTTGAGAACTGGAAATGCAACATAAATGGAAATTAGAAACATCTTCAGTTTTAATTATCCAGCTTTAAGTTTTCTTTCCTTTTAAAAAAATCTTTGACTTACACATTTGAATGTTCTTGTTAAATGTATTTTAAGTAATTAATTTCATCTAATTAAACTTGTTAAAATTCCCCACAAATATCCAGGGTGTTTAATCAAAAGCAATTTGAAAAAACATGCTTAAAATACATTGTTGCTTTAGGCAACAAATAAGTTCAGTTAACTCTTAATTAAGTATTTTATATCCAGTCTTAATGTTTATACTGAATTTTGGCAGGTCTGCCCCTACCTATCATAGAATCATAGAATGGTTTGGGTTGGAAGGGACCTTAAGGATCATCTAGTTCCACCCCCCTCCATGGGCAGGGACACCTCCCACTAGACCAGGTTGCTCAAAGACCCATCCAGCCTGGCCTTGATAGTTAAGTCAAGGTCACTAATACATTAGTAGCCACTTTATAGTTAAAAATACCTTACTGCTGTAGAAGAAGTCTAGAGAAGACCATCAGAAAAAACATGTTTTACTGTGATTCTTCCTGTACCCAAAAGGACTTACCTCCCATACAGTGCTCCAGATTATGGCCTGTAGCACTTGTCTGTGCAGGTGAGGCTCAAAAGCTGTTGTTTATCCTTCAAAAGCAAGGAAGGGATTACCCAAATCTCAGTGATGGCAGTGGAAGTCATTCCATGTCTCAGGTCAAGAGCTGAAGAGACACTGATGGCAGATATGCAAGGGATGACGTGTGTTTCATTGCTTTAGTTAATAAAATATTTTAGTAGAGTAGGTAAACAGGACTGGTGAATTTATTTAATTTATTTGCTTGTAATGTGTGTAGCTGTTAAATGTTTGCTATGCTGGCAGAACTCGAAATCTAGTGTTTTCCTATGCATTTGAATGTGGGTGAAGATGGTAAAATTGTCATTATAACTTTCTTTTCTGTAAATTGCAGCCTTTATGATATGTTTCCATTTCCTCAGGGTATTTTAAAAATATCTGTGCCTGTCTAGTTCTGATCTTGTTCTATTTAGTTTAGCTCGTTGCTCTGTGTTCAGATTTTGTCTAATGACCTGGTGCAGATACTGAAGATATTTGTCATGTGTCTTATTTTGTAATGATAACAAGTGTAACTCCTTCCTCCACATCCTTCTGAAATGCTCTGGGTTTATACTTGCCATTTGCAGCTTCGCGATAAAGGCTAAATTTATATCGTTACATAAATGATCTGCTGCTCAGTTTGCTTTGCCCTTAAAGGATGACACAAAATATCATGATGCCTTTTTTTCCCCCCTCTGACTCCTTACAGACCCCAAGGACTTACTGTGCAGCTAACACGGAGGACTTGGAGGCTGTTATCCACCATGTGCACAGCCTGCACCCCTCGGCTCCGTTCCTGGCAGCCGGTGTTTCTATGGGAGGGTAAGTTATTGCGTAACACAAGCTTCAGCTTCACTTAGATTGTAAGATAGTAAGACTGTTGTGTCCTGATGGTAAATTACTACTCTGCAATACTTTTATTTGTCACTGAACTGCAACTAACTTGGGTCTGTCTCCAATAGGCAGCTTTCAGAGGACTTTTTAGCTCTGTGTCAAAATTCGCCATTGTTCAAAAGTTGAAGGGGGTGGAGAAAGGAAACACTGACAGACAGATTGGCAGCCAAACAGTGGGCAATACAATCTTTGGGAGCTATGGAGGCTGTCTTTGGAACAGAGGGATAAAAAAATAGGAACTAGAGCTAACATACCCGGTTTCTTGCCACATCAACCTCTGGAAATGACAAGATTTATCTTCACTCTGTTGGGGTTCTGCAGTGTGTGGGTAGGTTAACCTGGAAGACATGTGGGTATTTGTTCTGTCTGGCTCAGAAGCAAGCAGTAGTATTGTTGTTGAAACCAGTATGGCTTGATATAGCATGTGATGTTAAGACTTGCTGTGTCCTGGCTTCTCTCCAGAAAGGACAACTAGCACAGACAATGGTAGCGTGGTTGCTTGGAAAAATCACTGCTGGAATCTAGGAGAAATGTTCAGACAGTCTCTTTAAGGAAATTCACAGGAAAGGGAAACTTCCATTAGAAATGCTGCAGACACAGCAGTAACTTCCTGAGACTTCCCTTCCTTCTGAGAAATTTTAAGGGAGGTGGGAAGGTGGAAGGTGCCTTGTATATTGACATTAATCTACTAACAACTTGTAGGCGCTTTGGGATAAATACAGATTTACTCAAGCAATATAGTTATTGATAATAAAATCAGTAATTAACTTGGAAGCCTTTTAAATCGGGCCAGTCTTTTTCCATTTGTCATGTTGGGATTTTCATGTGTCTTCAGGATGAAGGCATGAATCTCTCCAGTATGTCAGTGTCTATCTTGCTGGGAAGCCAAAAATTTGGCACAGTACTCCAGATACAATCTCCTAAGTGCCAAATACAGGGAAATAATTTCCCTAGACCTGCTTGTTTTACTGTTATTAACAGAGCACAGCATGTTCTTGTTTGTATTCGTTGCTGCAAGGATGCATTGCTGAGTCCTGTTCTGTTTGCCCAGGTCTTTTTCAGCTGCTCTCTATGCAGTCATCAGTCTGTCCTAGGTACAGGACTTTGTGTTTGCCTTTGAACTTCATGAGGTTTCTAGCAGCCCATTTCTCCTGTTGAGATCCCTCTGAATGGCAGCCCTGTCTTCCATTTCACCAGTCACTCCCCACAATTTGACCTGCAAGCTTACTAAGAGTGTGTTCCATCTCATCATTCAGTTAATGAAGACATTACAGAGCATGGGTCCCAGTATTGACCCCTGAGGAACACTGCTAGTATCTGGTCCAGCCACTCCAGTTGGACTTCCAAGTTCCTGATGACAACTCTCTTGAGTCTAGGCTGACTCACATTGCAGATCACCTATTCAAACCATGTTTCTCCAGTTTGGCTACATGGAAGACTGCCAAAAGCCTTGCTAAAGTAAAAATAAGCAACATCCAGTCCTTTTCCCTAATCAGCAAAAACAGTCAGCTCATCATAGAAGGTGATACAGTTGCTCAAGAATGTTTTGTTCTTGGTAAATCCATGCTGGCTGTTAACAGTCACCTTCTTTACCTTTACATGCTTGGAAATGGCTTCCAGAGAATATTTCCAAAGTTCTGAGGTTAGTCGGCCCAGCCTGTGTTTCCTTTCCCTTGCCATTCTTGTAGGTGGTTGGTTGCTTTTCCTCCCAGGTATTGCTTTTTCACAGTTGCTGTAACCTTTCAAAAGCCATAGAGAGCAGTCTCGTAATGATGTTGGCTCCCTCCATCTGGAGCTTTGGTGCACTTCATCTGGTCCCATTGACATGTCTATGTCCAGTTTGCATAACTGGGTCCTAACTTGATCTTCCTCTGCCATGAGTAATAAAGTACTTCATTCTCTCATACTCTGCCACTAGACACAGAATCCTGGGAGGCCTAAGAACAGACCTCAGCAGGGAAGACAGGGAGCCTCAGCCTTTTACAAATCTTTTGTCACTATGTTCCCTGCTCTGTTGAATAGTGGTCCCAGGAGAGAAGAATGGCTAGTCAGCCTAACCTCAGTTCTTTGGGAAGATCCTACAGAAGTGAACTCCAAGGATATGAAGGATAAGAAGGTGACTGGATTCACCAAGGGCAAAGCATGCCTGAGCAATCTGATTGCCTTCTATGATGAGATGACTGGCTTCACTGATGAGGGGAAAGGAGTGGATCTTGCTTGTACAGAGCCTTTTTAGTAGCAGTGTTCTTACAGAAGCCTTGTTACAGGAGCCCTTTTCTTGTCCTGCATATCCCCTGCTAGTTCCAACTCCAGCTGAGCTTTAGCTTTTCTAACTGCACCCCTGCATGCTTGGGCAATGACTGTTTCTCCTAGGCAGCCCTCTACCCTTCTGCCTTCAGGGCACTTCCTTCTTGAACTCAGGCAGGAGTCTTTTGTTCCTCTCTGTGGTCTTCTGCCACTTTTGCTCCACTTCCTGCACATCAGAACGTACCACACTTGTGCTTTATGTTCAGTGATCCTTAAGGTCAAACAGTTCTCCGAGACCCCTTTTCCCATCAGGGCCATCTTACATGGGATCCTGCCAAGCAGATCTCTGACCAAACTAAAAGCAACTCTTTTAAAGTCCAGTATTGTTGATTCTGCTGCTTGCCTTCCCTACTCTCTTTTGATCTTAAAAATCCATCATCAAATAATCTCAGTGGCCAAGGCTGCTCTGCACCTATCCCTGATGGGTTCTTCCTTACATGTGAGTAGCAGATCCATAGACTGTTTCCCCTGTTTGGGTCATCAATCATGTATTGAAAGATTGTCCTCTATGCTTTACAGAAATCTCATCTGCTTGTGCTTTGCTGTGGTGTTGTTGCAATTCATGTTGGGATGGTTACAGTTCCCTGTGCCCAGTGATTATAAAGCTTCTTTTAGCTGTGTGAAGACTTGGACTCTCTGATTCCTCCTCTTGATCAGGGGTCCATAGCAGACATGCACCATGATACCCTTTGTTGACCTCCTATCTAATTTTGACCTGATAGCTCTGAACTGGCTTGTAATCTGCACCAGGGAAAAGTTCTGTGCATTTAAATGGCATCTTTGTCTAAGTTGCAAACCTTCCTCCTTGCTTTCAAGGCCAATCCTTCATGAAGAGTCTATTTGCATCCCTCATACCAGAGTCTTGTCTACACTGTGTTCATGCTTGTTCTGGCACATGAGATGGGCCACAGTTGTGTTGCTTTCTCAGGGAAGTGTGAGAGACTCCCCCACTATGCTGTCCCTTGAGTACTGCCAGGCCTCCACTTCTCTGCAGGCTTTGTACTCCATCCCTTGACAAACCTGGTATAAAACTCTTCTTCACAAGATCAGCAAGCCTGTTGGCTTTTATCTCACTTGGCAT